TGCCCCTTCCCCACACTCCCCTCCCAGCTTTTTTGTTCCCCAGATCCCACCCCAGGCCCCAGTCCCAAGTACCTTCTGGGGGCCCCAGGCCTGGGAAGGGAGGCCCCATGCCCCGGGCCTGGTGAGCTGGGCTGAGCCTGAACAGAGGCCAGAGCCCAGCATGAATTTGGGGAGCCCCCAGGCCCGAAGACAGCGGCCAGGGAGCCCTGATCCCGAGTGGGGCCTCCAGCCTCGGGTCACCCTGGAAGACATCTCAGCTTTCTGGAGGCGAGAGAGCCGCACCAGCGTGGGTTTCTGAACCCCCAGAGCCCGGAGGACTGGCCTCCCAGAGGCCTCTGAGCAAGGCCCGACCTCAGAGCTCCCGCCTGGGAACCCAGCTGACACCTGAGGCCAGGGAAGGAGGCCAGGCTTTTCACACCCGGATTTCAGTTCAGCTGGGTCTGGTCTGGGCAGGCTGGGTGTGGACACAGCCTGTGCTGCAGGGGAAGCTCAAGGTGCTTCTGCTTAGCTGCCTGCAGGGGGCGCTCAGGGCAGAGTGGAGGCGGGGAGGACTCTGGGCCAGAAGCCGCCGAGATCACGTTCCTGATTAAGAATTCAAGGTACGAGACCGGCATGAAAGAGCATCGCCGCAGCGGCTTCCGCCTTCCTCACTGTGTGTCCAAATGCCGTGCCAGAGGGCAGGGTGCGGTGGACGCCGAAGAAGAGATGCCAGCGGTGCTAGCAGATGACAGGAGCCCAGCTTCCGGAGCCACAAACCATCCCGCCAGGAAAACACAGTCGGAGAGGCCAAGGCCAGCAAAGGAGCGTCTTACGAAAAATGAACCCCAGCTCCGAGCACAAACTAGGGGAGCCAAGCTGGAGAGGCCGCTCTGCCTTCAGCCGGGGCCTAGAGCCAGATAACCAGCGGGTCCTCTGCCGTCTCCGAAGGCTGACACCCCAGCCCGCGGAGTCTTACCCCCCCCCCCCCCCCCCCCCCGGAGGCCTGGGCCAAGGACATCTGAGGTTGAACCAACATGGAAAACCTTCCCAGGGCAGGGCAGCTCCCAAAATGCAGCCTCTGGCCACCCCCCCACCCCTGCCGGCAAGGCTGGCTGGAGTGTTCCAGAGAGACAGGTCCCCCCAGGCAGGCAGGCTTACTTATAAGGCTCCAGCTCCACCCGGAGAATGGAGCCCCCAAACGTCCTTGGCCCCATAGCACCCGTCTCAGCTGACCTCGCTGGGAGCAGAGCCGGGGGCCGGGGAGAGGCCAAGGAGTTTTCACTCCAAACTGGGGTCATGACTGTTAGGGTTCTTGCCGTATCAGTTTACCAACTGTACTATTATTTACTTTATGTTTTCTTTGAATTGGTTTACTGTTTGCTTAATAAGTTTATTGTAAAAGGAATATTTCGTGTATCACCTCTGTAAATGGAAAACCAGTATCACTTGCCATAAATAGAAGGTCAAATAAATGCATTGTAAACAAAGACATTAAGTTCTAAGTAGACATTGTTCCCTGCTGGAGGCAGTGACCTTAAGAGCTGATCTTTCTTTGTTGTTGTTGTTTTTAAAAAAGGAGGGATGATGTCAGCAAGTGTTAGGCGGTCCAGCTGCCACCCTGAGACCCCCCTCAGAAGTACTCAGACAGACGGATCCTGCACCGGAAGCAGGGACAGCGAGCCTGTGCTGCTTAATGCCGGCAGGGGCCTCGGAGTTCACCCACAGCCAGGGAACTGCTGCTCCGAGGGCCGGGGGGCTCTGGGCCTGGACCTGCCCTCTCATCCCCCGGACGCCAGAAGTTGAAGGAGCAGTAGAGGAATGAGTAGCCCCTAGGCCAGTGGCTCTCAACCTTGGCTGCACATTAGAATCACCTGGGAATCTTTTTAAAATCCTGATCTCTGGGCCTCATCCTCCGGAAATTCTGTTTCTTTGTTATGGGGTGGGGCCACAACCTTAGTAACAAAGCAACAGAATTTCCGGAGGATGAGGCCCAGAAATCAGGATTTTAAAAAGATTCCCAGGTGATTCTAATGTGCAGCCGAGGTTGAGAACCACTGCCCCAGGCGGAGGGACCGCTCCCCAGGGACACTCATCCAGCACAGGGGCCTGGCACTGCCCCTGAGCCAGGCCCGGGGATGGAAGAATCAGACCTGGCGTCTACACTCAAGGACCTCCCCGTCTCTCCAGTGGCAGCGCCGGGGGTGGGATAAGACAGGACACATAACTGACAACCCTAATACAAGGCGGGGTTCCTGTCCCGTCTGCCTCTCAGACGGGTAATGATGTCGCCTCCTCAGGACAGCTGACAGGACTGGTGGTGGGGACTCCGCCCCCAGGAGGGATCAGTCCCCCAGGGAGCAGAGCAGAGGCAGCGCTCAGAGCCTCCACGTGTGGAAGGGGCCCGGAGACAAGGCCCGGCTCCCAGGCTGGCTGTCACCACTGACCGGGAGGCTTCGGGAAAGTGGTTTTATGTGACTGGGCCTCACGTTCTCCCCTCTGTGCAGCGAGAGAGTTGAAAGCTGAGCAAGACGCTCTGTTGGGACTTTTCTAAGCTGTGGCATCTCAGGATGGTCTAGAGCAGTGGTTCTCAACCTTCCTAATGCCGCGGCCCTTCAATACAGTTCCTCGTGTTGTGGTGATCCCCTATTTCATTGTTACAAATTGAACATAATTAAAGCATAGTGATTAATCACAAAAACAATATGTAATTATATATGTGTTTTCCGATGGTCTTAGGCGACCCCTGTGAAAGGGTCGTTCGACCCCCAAAGGGGTCACGGCCCACAGGTTGAGAACCGCTGGTCTAGAATGAAAGATGGATGACACACGGGGGAACGTGAGCCTCCTGAGGCAGCGTCCAGCCTGCTATCCCCAGTGTCGCCTTTATGTCCCCAGACCCAGAACCTGGTCTGGAACATAGCAGGAGCCCAAGGAAAGGGGGCGGATGAGGGGGTGGACAAGACATGCACCAGTTTGCACACCTTGCTCCTTTCTCTGCATTTCAGACCCCTCCCTCTCCTTTCTAACACCCTCGTGTTACTCCCCCGTGTTCAGTCCTTCCTTTGTGTCTTCAGGCATTTGAAACATCCTTGCGGTTGGTCCTGTTGTGGGGGGGAGGGGGAGGGTCTCGGGCTCCCTCGCTTTCACGGCAGATGGTTTCCTCTTGGGCTTTCTAGTCCGGGCTGTGAACTCGGCTTCAGCGGGGCCCTGTGAGTGGGAATCCACGCGATCAGTGTGAAGGGGTGTCTTAGGGATCCTGTGTTTGCTCCTGGCCAGGGAGCTTCAGGGCTATTACCAACACTGGACCACATTCTTTGTTAATTTTATTTGAGCTTCTGAGACAGACAAGGTTCTGTTTGCTCCCCGGCTGGTGGGAAGATGTTTTTCTAACCTGCTCTTCTCAATGCTGCAGGCAAGGCCTCCTCTCCAGTCTCGAGGTGAATGGAGGGCCCAACCCCTTCATTGCCAAGCTCTGCAATTCAGAGCAGCTCTGGCTTTCAACTTCCTCCTTGTGTGGCCCCTGGGGGTTCCCCTTCCTTCCTTGAAGCCCAGCTGCACATTTTAAAGGATGTTTGTTTGTTTTATGCAGCATTTCTAGATGTTTCATGGTGGGAATGTGCTTGTCCGGTTTTAACATCCACAATATCACAACAAAACCAGACTATTTCCTCTATAAACAAATTCAGGTCTCCCCCCTTAAAACAACAAGCTCACTTCCCTTGGCTGGAGCATCGTCCATGCCCCAAAAGGCTGCAGGTTTGGCTCCCGGTTAGTGCACATATCTGCGATGCGGGCTTGATCCCGGGTCAGGACACATGCGGGAGGCAACCAAGTGATGTTTCTCACATCAATGCCTCTCTCTCTCTCTCTCTCTCTTTCTCTCTCCCCCCTTTCCACTCTCTCTGAAACCAATGAAAACATATCCTCGAATGAGGATTAAAGAAAACAAATAGCCCTGGCCTGTTTCTCTCAGTGGTTAGTGTGTTGGCCCCCTAAAAGGTCAGGGGTTCGACTCCTGGTCAAAAGCATGTACCTGGGTTGCAGGTTCGATTCCCAGCGTGTTTGGGAGGCAACCAGTCGATGTGTCTCTCTCATATCTCTCTCTCTCTCTTCCCTCCCTCCTTTCCACTCTCTCTAAAAATCAATGGAAAAAATATCCTCGGGTGAGGATTAACAAACAAAAAACCAACAGCCAAACAACAACTAATTCTCCATCCTTCACCACAGTAACATGACCTCTCATCTCCTTCACAGACAAACCTGCGGAAAGCTGTCTGTCCCGCAGTCCACACGTCCCCATTGCCCCTCCCGCTGCAGCCCCTGGGCGCTTCCCGCATTCGCAGAAGCCGCTTCCACAGACCCAGAGCCGCGTGCTTCCACCCAGGGACTCCGTTCAGCCTCCTGTCCGCAGCATTAGACACCCGGTTCCACTGGCACATTCTGTCCCCGTGCCGGCTGTGGCTCCACACACCCCTGGCTGCCCTTGCCTCTCTCTGCCTTCCTCAGGGGTCAGCCCTGGACTGCTTTGCTCTCCTTCGACACACTCTTCCCGGCAACCTCATGACGCCGTGGCTTCCATTACTCTCATGTGGTCCTCCCGTAGATATCCCCCATTATTCTAAAGTAATGGTGCCCATGGGAGAGAAAACACGATGAGTAACAAAAGGTGATCTGGAGCCAGTGCATGGCCATCCCTGGGGAGTCAGTGTTTGTCCCCAGGGCAAAACCAGCACCGCCCCCAACCCCCCAAAAAAGTGCAGGGGTCATGGATTCACATGTATAAAGAGGCCAAGCCAGAGCCGTGGGTGAGTGATGTGGACGAGGGGACGGAGGCGAGAAGAGACCACATGTCTGTCTCTGGGCACAGCTGCCACTCGGTGCCACCAATCACGTCCATCCTTCTGACTTTGCACCAGAAGCTAAAAATCTGGGGCTTGGGGTAAAATCAACCAAAATATTTATAAACATTGATAATGTATTGACCCATACAAGCCAAATGAAGCAAGTCTGTGGACCACATGTGGCTCGTGGTCCACAGACTTGAACAGGTGCTCATTATCTGGGCCTTGGGTGGTTTGAGGCGGGGCAGCCTGCTCCCAGAAGACCTTAGGTCAGGGCTTTCCCCACCTTCACGCTATTGATGTTCAATAATTCTTCCCTGTGGGAGACTTTCCTGCATCACCTCTGGCCTCCATCCACTAGGGCCAGTAGCATCCCCTAGTTGTCAACCACAAATGTCGCCCAGGGGAGGGGACCAGGAACCTCTGATCTAAGTGGAGTGTTTTAATGAATTAACACACCTGCCCCTGGAGCGCGACCCTGTCTCAGGGACAGGACGGCCGGGGAACCAGTGACACCAAAGGAATAAGATGAAGAGACAGACGACCAGCCCTGGAGGAACCAGGAGGCAGGTCCTGCAGCCCAAGCAGGTGGAGGCTTCTGGGAACACCCTGCAGCTGCAGAAAAAGAAAGGGTTCTGGGAATTACAAACATCATTTCCCAAATTAGAGAGTTCAAGGGAAGTACGGAGGACAGAGTTTAAACGTTTTTCAGGATGTAGAGCAAAATGACAAAGAAATGGGAAACGTGAAAGGAAAGTTAAGAGATGAAGGATCCTTCCATTCAACGTTCATCATTAATGGGAGTCCCAGGAAAACACAGGGGAGGACCAGCCGGACTGTGATTGAGGGAAACAGGGCCAGCAGAGCGGAGAGGTCTGCGCACGGGAAGGCCCGGCGAGCTCTTAGCAACACCACCCCCGAGACTCCCGCTTCTCACCACGGTTACCCCCGCTTGAAACCACACCACCGACACCACCACCACCACCACCAACAACAACAACAACAAACCAACAAAATACATGTAATAACAGTTTTCAAAACACTGGACACCAAGCAATGAAAGGAAGGAAAGCAACGAAAGCCCCGAGAGAAAGGATCAAGGCTGGTCCTTTCGGAGGGCCCAGCTTGCTGCTTTGAGTTTCCCAACTTCAGGCAGAGTCGGGGACTGAAGGGGACCCTGAGGACTCCTGGCGCTGAGAGTGCAGGGGGACCACAGCAGCTAGAGGCTCAGAACAGAACAGAACACAGAGAGAGCGAGTTGCCCGGAGAGAACCCCAAGACCTGTAGAGAGGCCCCCGTGAGTATTCAGCAGAGAACTGCTCAGCACCCGAGGCCCGTGGACGAGCCACCTGAAGAGCCAGCGGGAGCAGCGTGCAGGGTTCACACAAGGCCAGGGCCTTCCCACCAGCCAGCCTGGAAATGCCAAGGACACTGGGCCGTCCTCAGGAAGGCCTTGGCCTGGGAGTGGCGAATAATTAATCAACCCAGAGACTGAACAGGCTCGGAACCTGCCTAACAAATCATACAGATCACAAAACTACCTGGCATTCCACAAGGTAAAATCCGCAGTGTCAGGCGAGCAATCCAAGATCACAACACATGCAAAGAGGTAGCAACCATAACCCATACTGAGGATAATCATTCATCAAC